TACGAAAAAATTATATATATATATAATATCTATATAATATATATATAATATATTATATATATATATTATATAGATATTATATATATATATAATTTTTTCGTACTCGCAGATTTCTCTTCCGTTTACAAATATGTGAATAAAGCATTACAGTTTAAGACTGGTGTAGCAGCCACTGCCTTCTTAAATAAATCGAGTCAAACTTGTCTTTCTTTCTTTTTGTTCTGTAGTTTTATTTTCTTAAAGCGTTCCTACACTAGAAAGCAGACGACACTAGGCCTGGTTCACACTACCATCAGATTTTACGTGAACTTCTCTGTGACCTGCCCATATTTGGGCATGATATGCACACATAATAAGCAAATCATAGGCATTTGTTTAGCTCGACCTCTTAAATTGAAGTGTTACCAGGCAGTTTGCGAAATGACTTTTTCAAATTTGCGAACATTACAGATACAGATTTGTAATATTAAAGGTTGGATACGGATAATATGCGTACAAATTGTACGTGGAAAAAAATATTTTGTTAAGCAATACATTTTTTCTCAAATTATCTATAAAGAAGATCAAATTATTAGAACTACAACCATACACATTCTTCAATTTTATAAGGCCTCGAGCAAGAAGGTATAATAAGTCTCTAACCTCCTTTGTACGACTAGAGTAACACTAAAACTTCCAACATAACATTCAGACTTGTAGCGGATATGAAACGATTCCCTAAAGACTATTTATGCACAAACTGTGGCATCATAACTTATTTATTTGATCATTACAGTTACGAGCATAAAGTCTATTTCAGCTTAAAGTGTATTTCAGCATTTTTAATTCTCAGTCTTAGGTCGTTTTGCGATCCATTCGGCAATCTCTTTTTGAGCTGTGAGTCGCGCCACCAAACCCTTTAGTTTTGGGAACTGGTCGACGTCCTCGACGGTTGCGTATAGCGCCAGTCTTTCGTGCAACGACAGAAATACGAAGTCAGCAAGCGACAACTGTACAAAGATAAACAAGAGATAATTACAAACATATACATATTGAACATTATACTTTGGGCGGTGACTATCTTGTCCACGCCGCCTGCCTATAGTGTAAATGCTGTAATAATGTAAATACTGCAAAGGCTTCAGTGCTGCGCTTATTCGAGAAAAATATTGGCGTGTACTTTCCATGCCCGTTTCATCCCATGTTACCTATTTCACATATTCCCGTAGTTTAGTAGGTCCATCATAGGTCCCACCATCGTAAACAGACGTTTATAAAGAAATCCTCGTCTTCATTGTGTTATTTATTCATGTTAACACTGTATACATTGTATTTAAAACCCTGACACACAGAGTAATATTATTACACTCTCGATTAAGCGCCGTTGCGCTTAATTCGGGAGCGGCGCTTATTCGAGAATTTACGGTACTGAGTATTGACGACATCTTACGGGGAGGCTTCTTATACAAAGCACAGCCTTAGAATCAATGGACATTAAGAATAACACAAAAGTGATGAACATATAGTCTTGTGCTCTTCGGATAGGCCTATCAATTAAATCGGTAGGATAAATACTTGCAATAACATGCGCAGAGCAGTTGACTCGCTGTGTCGGTGCGATCCAACTATTCTGGATCAAACCCTATTATCCCATGATCCCCAATTACCTTGTCTCCAACGAACCAGCCGTCTCCATTTTTATTGTGGATCAAACATTTCTCCAACTTTTCGAAAATCTTTGGTATAACCTCTAAGACATTCTTCTTTTCTTCCTCCTGTCACATACCGTAAAAAAATTATAATCAACATAAAGAAATCTATAGATCCTATAAAAGAATGTTAAAATTACAGCATATTGTGGGTGTGTGGAGTGTGCGGGCGCACCAAAGATCTTATAAACCCGACCGACCGGGGGGGGGGGCCTGGGCCCCCCGCTGGCGCCACCCTTGTATTATAAACGGTATAACCAATAGGCATTAATAACAATGTAAACTAAGAGCTCTAAGATTATATATATATTACCTTCTTGGCTGGATCCTTTTCAAGATACCATTTCATCAACGGAAACGTGAATTCGTCACATGTTTCAAAGACAATGTCAATCAAAGCAGCTTCCCATGAATTTGCACCGTAAAAACCTACAAATTATCAATAGGCCTATTAATTAAAGCAAATCAAGTCTATATTTCAATAAAGCTACGCGCTATTGTAGCCAACCGAAAGCTAGCAAATTTAGCATGTTTACAATCATTATCAATAAATATGTTTAATTCGAAATAAATTGATATACAAAATCATAGCGAATAATTCACGTGCAATACATAATAATAGGCGTTTCTCTGCTACCGTGTAGGCCTATTTGTTTTTAACCGATTTTTATACTGAATCCGTTATTCAGAAACGTCATCAGAGCGCCCAATACGTTCCCAGCAAACAACACGCTTTTTTTTTTAGCATTTGCGAACCTTGTGGTTGCATGTCACAAAAAACGTTCACACCAACGTTGCAGGAACGTTCAAACGTTATGACGTAGTGAAATTAGATTATAAGTACGTACTTATGGTTCTACATACCAAACTGTAACGTTTTTATAACGTAATATTGTTAGCTGGGTTGTTAATTAATTAAATAATAGAAGTGCAGCATACCATGCTCCCTTGCCACGTATCTAAAGATGGCTTTAGACTGTGGTATTTTTTTTCCATCCACCGTTAGTACCGGCAACTGGCCGAATGGTTGGTCTGAAAAAAAAAATCACAGAATAGAACCAGGGAGCTGTAACATGATGGAGGGTGTGACATAATTAAATTATAACATAAGAAATACAAGAATAAATATACATTAACATGTACAGTAAGTCGTTTACTGTTTCAAAAATGCACAGTCATCTAAATCACGTTGACAACATTTTTTTTCATTATGAATTGTAGAAGAAATTCCTCATTTTAAATAACGTATTTAAAACTGTTGATTTTGTTGTCTATAGGGGTAGGTCAACCCCTACAAATGCAAATTTGATAATATGTTTCTTAAAGCCGAGTACAAAATGCGTCGTACGGCGTCGGTTATCAGCCGATGAATCTATTTCTGCTCATAGCGCTCGACGACGCACGGCTGAGTGGATTGTCATCCGTCCGTTGCCACCTCATCGCGTTGCGTTCTCCGTCGGTAAACAACTGGATAGAAAATGGAAAATCTTCCAGTCATTCAACGCTATGAGAGAAGATGAAGTTTCACGAATATATTCCACAGCTAGGTCTATTTCAAGAAGATTGACATAAAAATGTATAGAGTACAATGGGAAGAATATATATTTTGACTTAAAAGATTGACTTCATTCAACGGGGCTGAGCCTCGTAAAATGTAAGTCAATCTTTCTTTCCATTGTAGGCTACGAGACTTCCCATCACCTAAAATACATACCGGTGCTGTGTATGTACACTTCAACCATCCGTTGTGCTTTCACACTGATACCATGGAAGAAGACGTGACCTTTCGGATCATGCGAGTATTATTTGTCTCATGCACACAGGCCTATCATTATCGGAGTATGTGTTAAGGCTTCGCCAAATATCGATAGTGGGTGGATCAATGTCTATTTACACACACACACACACACACACA